TGATATCGATTCCACAGTAAGTTTTCTTGGTAGAAAGGTTTGTTTATTTTTAACGGATAAATGAATAAGCCAATTCACGAAAATTTCGTGTAAGGAATTTGCAGATTTCATTTTTAAACAATAAATAATTTGTGCGTTGCCTTATGAAAGTACATACCATTTGAGCTTCAATTCAATCCTTGCTTATAGCGAAATCTCATTTCCCTGTCAAGGACTACTCGAATGAATGTTCGTGTAATCGTATAATTATGATCACAATCTCACTTAATGAATATTAAATTCCGTGGTGGTATTATTGAAAATTAAGTACCAATATAAAAATAATTATACAAAAATTCACGTCGGTGTTAGCAAGTTGTCGGGACTTGATAATAAAGAGGGGGCAATTATTTATGTAAAAGAATGCAAGGGTCGGGCGAAGACAATTTAAGCGAGTTATTTTCTCCCTTTCCATTGTCTACTCCGTGGCTATGACTACACATTCCCCTCCCCACACGTAGACGCGAACGTTGACAATTACCACTAATGAGTAAAAGGGCGGAAAACAGGCGACACGCAAGTTAGTGGTGAAGAGATCTGGAATATAACATGAGCTGCTTCAGATATTGTTCCTAGCATGACAAGTGATGGCGAAATGCTAAACAACACAGTAACATTAGCTTTAATTATATTTGTAAAGCGCACAGTAATTTATGTTATAATTATTTGTAGAGTAACCATTTAATAAAAAAGTAATGTTAGAAGAGTAATAAGCAACACAACATCTGAAAATATGACTCACAATAGCACAGGAAACGCACAACGCCAGCAGTACAGGAACCAGTTTGAAGGATATACACCTTCCAAGTAGATGAAACAATAAGGTTCGAACGATACTGCTCGCCCGGACTAATCAAAATTCATCACGCCACACGTCAAGGAGTTTCTAATGTCTGTCACTTTCTGCGGTAGATAGAGTGCGTGTATAGAGTGCGGAGTGGCGCGTGGCGTGGCGCCGGGGCGAGGCGCAGGTCCGTCGCGTGCGTCCGCCTGCATTAGCTATGCGCCGGCTGACGGACGAGCTGTCGCCGGGTCGTGGGCCAACGGCACATCGATCAGCGCTGCCTATCGACGGCGAACACGCGTTCTTCACGCGCCGCCTGCCGGCTGCGCTGCAGTGCTTGGCGGCCCCCGAGGCGACGCCGCCCTCCCCCTCCCCCTGCCCCACTTCCTCCCACTCGCAGTGAAGTGTAGGCGTCAACCGTCGCACAACATGCGAAGCTTGCGGCGTGACAACGCAATACGTTGCTGTTGCCTTTCAACTCAAGTTTTCTGCGACTACGCTCGGATTACCGTGATGGCTGTTACAATTTGCGGACGTTTAAAATTTTGTGCCAGAAACGTTATCCCAAGCGCAATTCAAACGCTTTTGTTCAAAATAACATTAGTTACGAATTCATACTAAATCAAAGAAAATAAATCTCGTTTGGTTTTGCACAATATTTACAAACAGACAGGTGTCAAAATATTATTTACCTCTCAAAACTTTCAATATAATTTTAGAAAAACTCTAATAGACTTTTCATCGCAATATAAAAACGAATTCTCATTCGGCATTTGAAGCGAACAAATATGCATAACATCACATACATTATTTAAAATTTTAAATCACACATTTTGGAATGAGTACTGTATTAAATATCAAGTATTTGCGTTCATTTGGACAGCTATTTTTCGCCCTTCAATTTCTGTTTGACCTCAAAATTAATTATAATCTTAGTAGTCGCATTTTAAGATCTAAAGTAAATATTGACATTACACGTAAGATACGTTAGATGAGAAATTGTCCTTACATTTTTTTAAATTCTTAAAACAAATTAAGAATCTGTTTTCAAATTTGATTTCTTAATAGTAATTCGAAACATAATTGGTTACAGATACAAAACAGTTATCACAATAAATGAAATGTAAGAGGAAGCCATGATATTTAAATATTAGAATGTTTTTAAATATACTATAGTTTCTCTTTATATCAGGTTTTTAATAATACTAAATAATAAAAAAATTAATAATACTAATACAAAATTTTTCGCAATACTAAACTTTTTGATATTAATCTTATATTATTTTGTCTTATTGACAATTACCTAGGTGATAGTCTTTTGAATGTCCGCGGTATGTGAATATGAGCTTTGCTGAAACCTTGTTAAGTATCTACAGAAATATGACAAACTTATCAAACTTGGAAATCAGTCGCCGCTGATGGACAATTTCAGTTAGGAAGAACACAGTGTTCTGGTTAAACACGAAACCCAAGCAATGTATTCTTGCAATGTATTATTTCAATTTCCGAACACATCTACTGCAGAGGATTGCACTGAAAAATAATGGAAGCTTCATGTACCGAATTAGTATTATTTGACGCACGTCAACTTCATTGCTATTGATGAAAGATTTTAACTATCCTGATGTAACTCATACCTGAAAATTATCAACCGAAATGGTTGCAGAATAATAAAAAAACAATTCCTTTTGAGACGTCTCGTGGTTCTTGAGACAATCGTTCTTACAGTCGGCCATGATTGCTGGCTGCAGGCCAGTGACTGATCAGGTCTTCTTCACGACACAAGAAGAGGCAACGGATTTGCGGAGGGGTTGGCGGCGGCGATGCCGTCGTCGCGAGTGCTTTTACCCGTTGTCATTTCCAGATAATGCACACGATAAGGGCATTACATTTTATCTCCATCGGCACTTGAACAAAGGACCCATGCTCTTTTCTTCCCTGCTCTTACTCCCCGCTCAGGCGAGTTTATTCAATATAAATCTCTACGATTATTTTTCGTTCAGACCTCGTTCCGATTGTGGTTTGTTCAGTATTAAAACAAAACACTTCCACGGAGATCACCGACTTGTATTTCTGAAGCGATCGATAATTTTTCAAATATCGCCAGTGGCACTCATCGATAACCTTCAAGTATTCATTTTTAAAGATTGTACGAAAAATACATTTAATTGAAATAAAAATCATTTTTATTTTGATTGTCTATAAGCATCCCCATATAAATCATTCCAAGTCAGGAAAAGCAAGAATACCGTAATTGTCCATTCCTCGTTCGTTTCTGAATACAGTTTTATTAAACGTCTATTATTATTTTTCGAATTGTTGGAGATTTTCTGTGGGCCGTTTTCAAACTTATCACAATACGCCCGGAAGCTATTTACATGAAAATCTCCAAATTTAACGATACAACTCGTCGTCAATGGTTATCGAGTTTCCTCTCTAATATTCGAGATCGCTGCGCATTTATTCATAAGAATAATATACTCACTACACAAAGACCTCCAACAAAATCCATCAATTCCATATTTTGTCACATTCGAATAACAATCCATCATTCTATATGAGTATATGTGTTCAAAACAACAGTATTCATTCACATCTTCCTTTAACTGCATAACATAGTTGTTAACTTGAACAATGAAAGTAGAAGAGTTCATACCAGGGTAATTGATCACTAACGCCTAACAAAATATTAATTTACATGTACTCACTGCAGTTATTCACTTTCCTTGTATACTGGCGAGTTTATTGAAAGAAGTTACTGGTTCATTCTTGAGGACGAATGGTGCGATATAAACAACTAATTAATTAGTACTAATCGAAGTACAGAGGAAATATTAACTCTTTACAAAATTTGGCACATGGATTCAAAATTGTTTCAAAATGCAACTCTAAAGCTAAGACGATATTAAAGAAAAAAAACGAAGAACCTACTTTTACAATTTGATGATATTATTAGTTTTTAACGGCGATCCGCAAAGACCGCCAAAACGGGGCGTTGCCGGATGCCCCCGGCTCCGACATAATCTGCACGAGGCAACCGCAACGGCCCCCTGCACCTCCCCGCGCACGCACGGCGGAGGAATCACGTGCGGCGAAGGCGCAGAATCTGCAGCCATTATTACCCGCCAACGGCTTTCTTCCGGTGCGCCGCGCCCCGCCTCGTACGTAATACAGCTGCAATTAGCAAGTCTAATGAAGACACGAGCACCCGGCGGCGCGGCGTCTCGCGGCGGGTGCCGCCCCCACCGCAATGCGTTTTTTTTCTTTCTTTTTTCGCCTCCGCCGTGCCGGGCCGATCAGCAGCTGCCGGCGACGCGGACGGACTTTTACTGCGCGACCGCTGATTTTTCAACAGGTGCGTTAAAGCGCAGTCGATAAATGTAAAAGTGATTCACGTGGGAAGTGTAGTACAAGCGCGCATTTGCATAATGTGCCTGCCGCCCGCAAGAAGTGCACTCATATGGCCCGAAGGGGGCGGCGGTGTTCCTGCCGAAAACAATCGAGATAAAGCACACGATGGGGAAGGGGAAAGGGCGTTAATTTTTAGAGCGCGCGACTCCGGCGTCGACGGAGCGAGAGAGCGAACGAGATGGAGAGCGCCTTTGTAACTGCGCCGTCATGTCGCGCCCGTGCATCACCGACGTCATGAATTCGATTTTGGCAGAGGCCGTTAAAATGACACAGGAAGAAAATTAATCCACAGGTTCTGAAATTGTCTTCTAAAGGTTCCGCATTTCCTTTTAATATTCCATTCGGATCAGCACAAATTAAAAACGGACTAATTCAATATTTGCGTTAGCTTCTTTACAATCAATTTACAGTATTTACCTTAATTTATAATGCTCTTAGTTCGCACGTCTAGTTCATATAAACGACAAAGATTGTTAATTAATATCTAAACCACAACGTATCTAGTAGTTGACTTTTTTGTCAACAATTAGTCGTCTCTATAGATCGAAACTTCTCTTCCACTGGTCAATGAAAGACGACGGAAAAGTTATGAGAAAGGATGCTGAAATAATAAAGCGCCGTGCATGTTACACCGTTTCACAGCGGCACACAATTAATACGGCGATTAGTTCTCTGTTGTAATGTCATAATTTTACGATTCACCTCCATGAAATCGCATTACGGCACCTACGGTGCGATCGTTAAACTAAGGAGTAGTTGTACTCACACTTCGATGGCCTTGTTCCAGTTGATGACATATCCCGACAGCACGAAGGACTCAATGTTGACGACGTGGATGTTGCCTCGCTCCGTGCCCACGTACAGCCACTTGCTCTGCAGCGGCAGGTGCATGTAGGTGATCCTGCAACAGATGGCACGTTAGGCTCCGTTCAAAGGGGCGCCGCGAGCCAGCCGCCACGGCGCTTTGAACCGTCATCGCCACACGACGCACAAAGCAGCGCTAACAGTGCTCTGAACTCTGCTGAGACAGGTAAGGTATCATTTCGTCAAAAGGACTCGGGGTGTAATTGCAAACACTCATATGCATCTCTACAAATCACACGATATGGAAAATGTATTGGAAAAGGTTGCAATGAGAAAGACTTGCACGGTGAGATGATATATAAGCATTACAATTACTGATACGTCATGACTTTCGAAAATTTAATAAAACTTATGCTGCTTACGTTTTGAAGAAAAGGTGGTTATGTTTTCATGATTTGCAACGGATCCAATCATAATCTAAGAGCATCAAGAAGCACTTGAAAAATATCTAGGTTGCAAGATTCTTAGGATGAAGATAGATGAATGCTGGCAAAATGTTGCACAATACCTCAATTGATATATTTAGCAATTTAATAAAAACATTTTACAATAACACTTTTATAGAACGTTCAGAATTATAGAAATATAATGCGGTGTCCATTTTTCCATCCACGGCAAACACAAAGAGGCTCTTTCATAAATGTCAAGAAGAATACGGCGAAGATGAATTTGATGAAGTTGATTGGATTAAATATAATTATTATTTGGTGAATGAAACATGAGAATCAACAAAGCAGTAAGTACAATGTGTTACAGTGTTGTAATATTTACAACAATGTACGAATGAGCTCTTCACCAATATTCATTTCACTCATTAAAGTACTAGCACAACAATTAATGAATACATTCTACAGAGAAGAGAAGAAGAAGAAATGAAGCAAAACAGGTCTAATCAGGCCACAGAATGTGAAAGTCACAACAACAATAACAACTACTACAACAACAATCACAACATCAACACACAACAAATAAGGCGCATTTTAGAAAAGGAGGAGAAAAAAGAGAGCCTAGCTTGCCAAAAAAGTACACACACCAACTCATAATATTTGGAAGATACGAATTTCAGGAAATGATACTTTTCAGCTCAAATAAATAGTTTTTTTTGGGTCCTATGTGCTTTTATGAGATTTATTTGTATGTTATTTGTTGTAGCTTAACTTAGTTTTGTCTAAAGCTCCTTTTCAAGGGTAATTTCAATAAGGAAAGGTTAAAAAAGGATTTCGGAAGTGTAAGCAAGACTTTTAGTAAGCCAGATAATAAATAGATACTGAATTACAGATATGTTTTTTGGAACGTTTAACAGTTGAAGTAAGCAGTTGTAAAAAAGTTAACTTGGTTTTAGTAAAGTTAACGGAATGACCTATACACAATAAAGTACCCATTATTAAGACTGTAAATTGAAAACATTGATAACTACGAGTACTTCCTGTACTAATTCTTGAGTCAAAATCTTCAGCGCAAGAAAGAACTAATACATCAAAAGAATTACTTCTAGTTCTTTGTCTATAGAAAATCCAGAATACTAATGTCTTTATTCATGAAATCAAGGAGACGAATATTAATGATGTTTGATTTGTAAAATTGACTCTTGCTTATTATTAACATAATTCACCCCAGTATTCAGAAAGATAAAAGTGCGATTTGAAGTTAACGTAGCAAAAAATACCAAATATTATGATTGTGTGGGTGTAATTTTTTGACTACCACATACGATTATCAAAACATTTCTGGGTGAAGTATTACTTGAGAATAAGAGTGGAGCAGAGAAGATGTTGCAGTCACAGTGGCCAGGCTATCAAATGCAATGATAGAAGTACAGGAAACTTCGGAAGAAAGAAATGAGGAATGCCAGGAAAGAGATGTATGATAAATCTCGGGTATTGAGTTATGAACAACGATAAATGGGAATGGCTTAAGGACGGGTTTGTATTAAAAAAAAAAGTTGCACGAGTTGCCACACTGATCGATGGAAGGGATAAAGCTTCGGTGCCTCACATAGCATGGTGTTGGACACGGGAGTAGGAACGTCTGAGAGGCCATACGGAAAAACATTGCAGACTAGTCCAGAGAGAAAGAGAGGGGTTGCGGAAGACGTGGGCGCCGGAGCGGGCCACCAGCCAAGCACAAGAGCACAGAGGGGGTAGCAGGGAAGAGAGCCGGCCGCGCCAGGCAGCGGTCGCGGCGGCAGAAGAGGCAGAAGAACAAGAAGCAGAAGAAGAAGAGGCAGAAGAAGAAGACGGGAGGTGCCGGTGCCACAGTGGACCGACCGCCAGAAACGGGCCGGCGCGGGCGGGCGGCGCGGAGGCCGGGGCGAGGGGAGGGGGCGGCGGGAGGCCGCACTCACCGCTCGCGCTGGAACTTGAGCGAGTGCACCACCTCGGGCCTCTTCTGGCGGAAGTTCCACAGGTGGATGGAGTCGTCGGCGGTGGCGGTGAGCAGCGCGCCCTCGTTCAGCAGGAACTGCATCTGCAGCACGGCCGCCTCGCTCTCGTGGCGCACGTGCGCGTCCACGCCCGGCCGCCCCAGTCTGCTCGCGTCAAGGAACGCACCGCGCCGCTCTCGCGCCTCCACCGCACAACGCAGCCCAGCGCCCGCGACCGCTCGCCGCACAAGCTAGGCGCAGCCCCGTGGCCACGAAGGCGCGATTTAAAAAAAACAAAACATTACGGAATCGGGGGCAATGTCGTTATTCTTCCTACTAGCTTGTCCGCAGATACATTTCTGCTTAATATTTGAATTGGATTCGAGTAAAAGAATTACGGTGTTCTTAGTTTTCATTTTCACAACTTGACTAATATACAAACAGGTCGGGCGACGTATGAGATTTTATTAGAACAAATTGACAATTTTGACAATTCATTTATTTTTTCTACGAAAGTGTCAAACGTATACACTTGCAACCTCATTTTACAACCTACATTCTTTTTATCTTTTAATAATGATGAAAATGTGAGATATTTAATAAATTTAAGAGAAATGAATTAATGATTTAAGTTCAGGAAGTTTAATATGTAATCTCGGTATGATTTTGGTACACCAAACATTATTCTTTGAAAATCACTACAAAATCGCCCTGTCAAGATGTAAAAACAAAGAACGAAACGTTCTCTTCACGATCAAAGCAAACATGAATTTTTCTTGCTTTTACAGCTTACAAAAACAAGATTTACTAAAGAAACAAAAAGAGGAGGAATTCGTTCAATGCAATAACAACGTATCGTCGATCGTTCGCAGGGGATTCTTTTAGTAATTCAACTAAATGATTTTAGAAGTCGAATATTTTAAAAATATGTTATGATTTTGGGAAGAATAGAATTTCGAAAAATCATAAGTAAATTTATGATTGTACAATTCATGAATAAATACTTTCAGTGCTTTTAAAACATCTGAGACTGCGCAAACAAGGTTTCAAAAAGGTCTTCAGAAGTAAAAGTAGGATTGAGTAACTGTTATCAATTATAACAACTATATTGAAGAGATTTATTTCAAAGTGTGCAAAACTAGTACTGCTTTTAGATTTCAAAGTAATTATTTTCTCAGTAAAGTATAGTCTGGCCGAATACCTAAACACTAACTTCGTTATGTTTTCAAAAACAGCAAATGTGAAGCGCTCTGTAGCTGACACAATACTACTAGGATATAATGCTTTCTTTATGACGGTAAATTCACTTTACGTTCGACGACAGAAATAATTACCGAAATTAATTCAATAATAATTAAAAAATAATTATTAAATTACATAGATTGTGAACGAGCGGTCTGAGCGTATTACGGGCAATTTTTACTTTAAAAATATCACCACACAGTAGGGATAGGTAATCTGACTGGCTTGTAAATACACGAGAATTCAGGGAACGTCACATGACCTGAGGGACCGTTCATGATGGAATGCATATGTTGTGTAGGGAACGACAATGGCGAAAATTATGGAGATGACCACGGAGACGAGTACCTGTATGGTGAATACAAAAACACAAATTTAAATTCAAAAATACCCTTGCGCTGCTCGCCATATGCTCACACTCATACATACGCACATGCACACTAAATACTTACACGTAGGTGAAATGGAATGGGGAGTTTTAGGTGCATCGCTTCATTGCCCACGAAAGCAACTTACTGTCGGACGATCATATCGAGTACAGGGGCAGATGGCTGCCACCGACAAAGTTCTCAATCGAAATCTCAATACATGATCTTTTAACGACGTCAATAAGCGTAAAATCTTCAAAGCGTCATTCCTCCATCCCAGTTTTATTTGCAAACAAAATCGGAGAAAATTGCTTTCCATCGCTTCCCAGCTCCTTTATTCCGAGGGTGACCGTTTTATTGCGGAGATGACGACAGCCGCTCGGACATAAGTCGCGGAAATCTGCCGCGAACGACACTGGAACGCCGCAAGAAAGGCGAATATAACGAACGGCGCCGTCACAACGGAGACGCAAAAAAGCGCCGGCGACGCCTCCGGCGCCGTCAAACTGTCTGCGCAGACAGCGGACGGTCTCGTTTCCCTTAATTTGTCATCGCGCTCTTCCCTCGAGGCCGAGGCCGCACCCGCCCTCTCGGCGCGCGCCATACACGCGAGCGAGGCGGTCGGCCGGCCGGCCAGCCGGCGACTCACGCCTCCTACGGCCCGATTGCAAATTGCCCTCGTAAAAAGCGAAGTAGATGCAAAAACAAAAGCTCTACGCCGATGCGCTTCGGCATTTTTCACCGCGAGGGAAGCTAGATTTCATTCTTCCACTCGGCGGGCTTCGCGTTTTGATGGCCATCGCGCGAAGTCGCAAGGCTTCAGTTCATTTGCTGCTATTTGAAGGGCGGCATTAAAAGAAAAACGAGTCAAAGTATAAAAATAAAACGGGATTTTTCGAGGAAATAAAAACAAGCTACTTTGCGGATTTGGAACAGATTTTAAAGTTTGTTAAAGTACAAATAAAATTAAATAGTGGATGTAATGCACATTTAACACAATATATTACAGAAAATACACACAATTCATCAGATCCTTTCAAAGATATTGAACAATTGCTTCAAAAGTTGTTATGAAAAAATTCTTAGAAGTAAATAAGGCAAACTTTTTTTGAAAACATAAACTTACAATCTACTCTAACAATTCTAATAACACTTTTTAAGTAACCGATAGATCTGAAACAAAATAATTTACTTTTAAAGCTAAGAAATACCTTACTGAAATTTCGCTCCTCAATTTTTTCTGCCTTTGTGTAAGTGGTAAAATAAATGATTTATGCAATAAATCAGAAGGTAAACAATGCACTTTTTTTTTTCTATATGATATCTCGTTGGAAAGA